AAAGAGGAATATTACTGTATTGAGTGGTGTGATTGTTCCTGATTACCAAGGGGAAATTGGATTAGTATTGCATAATGGAGGTAAAGCAGAGAATGTCTGATGTCTAGGAGATTCCTTAGGTCTTCTCTTAGTACTATCATATCCTGTGATTAAAATCAATGGTAAATTACAGTACACCAACTTTTACATCACAACCAATAGCCCATACTATTCAGGAATTAAGTTTTGTGTTACCCAACAAGGCAAAGGACCATGACTCACCAAGGCACTTGTTGTGGACAAAGGAAATAAGGAATGGATAGTGTAAGAAAGTACTTCTAAATACCAGCTATGGCCATGTGGTCAGCTTCAGAAAGGAGGACTGTAATTATTATGAGTAATTTTTATTTATATGTAGACATCAGATATTATTGTTTTGTTCACTTATTAAAAAAAGATGAAAATGGGTTTAGTGCGTTTCAGGTGTATGTGTGTTACCTGTATCAAGTGAGACACAAGTATGACTTTGTTGTTGTCTTTGTTTGGAGGTTATGAATGATGAAGGGTTGGGTACAGGTTGTCAAGAGATAGTCATTGATAGTTAGGGTTTATGTCAACTGGACACTTCTGGACAGCAGTAGGGTGGAACTCAAGCTATCAATGATGCTCAAGCTAATGACACTTCCTTGGGGTTTAGCTTTTGTGTTAGTCTGGGTAGACTAGAGAAACAAATTCATAGACACTCATATGTGTAACAGATATTTTTATTTAAAGGGTAATTGTACATTAAGAAAGTATCCAAACCCAGTCCAGATCAAGCCTATAAGTCAGATATTAACCCATATGTCCGATACCAATCTATAAAGTCCTCTTCAGACTCACAAAACACATGCAATGATGCCAAGTGCAGGATTATCACAGGCCATTGGGTAGAAAATCTTTGGATCCAGTGTTGTTGTAAGCGTCTCAGCGCTGGTAGGGGTCTCCATGTGGCTTCTCCTCAGGGATGTCCCACAGGGAGTTAGCAGAGAGAGAGAAGTGACTTACCAATAGAGTGTCTCCCATGTATCTTGTCATTAGAGCATCCTCAAGGGAGTGAGCAGACAGTCTCTCCCACCTCCAAGGAGGAAAAAAAACAGATCTTCTAGAATTCTCAGGAGAAAGGCATGCCCACACAGAGACCTCATTGGCTATGATCCAATTGACAGACTAGACTCCACCCCTTCATTCTTAATCCTCTGAAGTCCCAAATTGACACCAGATTATGTAACCACCACACCTTTTGTATATGAGAGAGACCCAGATCAAAGCTGAGCACTCTTGCTCTTTGTCTTCTACTGGATCTTATGGTTTCTTAGTACTACCATGTCTTGTGATTGAATTTAATGGTAAAGTACAGTACCCAGGTTTTGACATGACTACTAATAATCCAGCCTTATCAGGAATGAATGCTTGGGTCATCACACCAGGCAAAGAACCACAACCCCGCTAGGTACTTTCTGAGACAATGGAAATATGGAATGGGTACTGGAAGAAGGTAGTTCTAAATACCAAATACAACCATGTGGTCAGCTGCAGAAAGGAGGACTGTAATTGTTATGAATAATTCTTATTTGTATGTACGCATGATATAGATTTGCTTTGTTTACTTATAAAATATAAGATAAAAATGGGTTTGGTATGTTGGTTAGCTGGCTGTACATGTGTTAATCATATCATGTTAGGTCAAAATGTGATTTTATTATTGTCTGGAGATTATATATGGTTAAAGGGTTGTGTAGAGGTGTCAAGTTGACAAGGGGTGGTCTGTGATGGTTATATTTTATGTCAACTGGACAAATCTAGGCAAAAGTAGGTGTGGAGCTTGATGAAACCTCCTTGGGGGTTTGATCTTTTGTATAAGACAGACTCTGAACAGAAATGAGCTCTCTCTTGCTCCTTTGTTTTCTACTGGATCTGGACCCTGTGTCTCATGTGTCCAGTTCCTCAGTCTCCTGTTGTGTCACCTGCCTATCTCAGAAGCATTCAGCAGAATGCCTTAGGTTTATTCAGTGGATCTCAGATTCATTCAGTTCTGCATCCATCATCCTCTGTCCTCCTGCTTCATCTTCCTACTTACTGTTATTCAGCTCCTGCAGCTATACGAATCAGGAGAAACCATCAGCTTACATCTGACCTAGGGACTTGAACCAGATTGGATTTACCTACTTCTATAACTGTGCAAGCCTTTTTGGAATATAAATCTCTTTCTATATGCTACGTATACATGTGTCACTTTTTCTCTCTTTTTAGAGAACCCAATCTAACACAACCTGTCTCCATAATCTCTCTTCCTGTTTTACCTATGTGCTTTTTAGTACTCAGAAATGATCATACTCAATTATGATCTAATTAGCATAACAAAGAAAACCTTATTTTCGAATAACATGTTTAATATATGTAGGTGCTAGGATATCAATATATATTTGGGGGGACAAAATTCAACCAAGAGCAGTAGCTAGAGGCTACTAGTGACTGCTACTCCAACCTGTACTATTTCTCTTTGTTCTTATTACCAAGGAGTGAAGAGAAATTTAGGCAGATTTTATCACTTGATTTAACTACCAAATAGCTTCTTCTGAAAGTCGAGTTATTCATCCATTCATTCACTTATTCAACAAATGAGCTATTCACTTATTAAACAACTACTTTATACTACTCAGGTTCATGGATGGCCCAAATTTCATTCTCTGATAGGTTATCATTTCAAACTCACTCAGCAGAATCAAGGACAAATGACCTGGTGATCTTTTCCAAAAGATTATATAAACTCCCCCTCTGGCATTGATTCAGTGCTGACTCGTAGTGATCTCCTGTGTGTTTCCTAGACTGTAACAGTTAGTGGGAGTAGAATTCCAGTCTTATACCCTCGGAGTTGTTAGTGGTTTCAAACTGCTGACCTTGAGGATTTCAGCCCAACATCTAACCAATGCACCACCAGGGCCACTGAGTTTGAAAATCATATGGTGCATAGTTCTACTCCATTGTTTATTATGCTGCCATGAATTCAAATTGACCCAACGGCTTTTTTTCACATTAAATATTTATATATATGACAACCACTTCCAGTCCACTCCTTTAGTTTGTTATATAAAGAAAAATATCATGTTAAAAAAACAACAAAACACATTCCTCCTTATATTCAGGAGCTTACATAATGAGGGCAAACGTATATTTCCCCCAAGAGGAGTGATTTTGAGAAGAACAAAAGTTAAATTACTGCCAAATAAAGCAAGTAGAGGCCAATGTAATATGTGGAGAAAGGCTGACTGATAGAGAGCTTGGTGGAGGCTTGAGATCTGATTAAAGACCAATTCCACTGGAAAGCTGAAATTATTTAACTGTATATTTAAGAAAATTCAATCTTTCTCTCATAAAGAGACACCTGTCAGGGATATTGCATGTAGACTGATATCTGCTTGAAGAATCATTGAGAACATTTAAAATATTTCATTAAAGTCACAGTGGCCTCTGTGATATAAAAATATCTTCAGAGGTGAATGTAAGTACCTGTGGATTAGAAAATTCACCCATCTAAATTTTATTTTTGAAATATGATTTCTGAATATTGCTTCTCTGAATAGAAAATAAAATTACAAAGGCAGATTGTAGAAAAATGCAATTTGTGCTATTAGTGTATAGTATATTAAAAAAAACCAAAACTCATTGCCACTGTATTAGACTGAGTTTTCTAGACAAACAAAACCAATGACATTCATATATATATATATATATATATGAACAATCTTTATATAAAGATGTAATCTTATCTCAAGAAAACATCCCAGCCCATTCCAACTCCAGTCCCTCAGCCTAAGGGGAGCCACGGCCTCTTCAGACTCACATAGCTGCATGCCAGTGATGCAGAAAAGTGAAGTAGGATACAGGAAGCTCACAGGCTGGTGGGTACAGAGTTGCATTGACCCACGTTTGGTGGAAACATGGCAAGGCACCAATATCTCTCAGGTTTGGCTGTCCACATGTTGCTGCCCTTGGAGGTAGGCAGAGTTCCAGCAGGCAAGAAGATGGAGGGCCAAAGAGGGAGAAAGAAGGAAGTTCTGTTTCCTCCCTTAAAAGGGGATCTCCAACCCCTGGGGAGAGAAGGCACTATCAGGCTGTGACCTGATTGACAGGTTGGACTCCACCTCTACACTTTTATACAAATTCAAGTTAACATAAACCCTAACTACTACAGCCATAGAGTCAATTCAGATGCATAGCAATCCTACAGCACAGAGTACAAGTGCCCTCTGGGTTTCTGAGTCTTTTTTTTTTTTTTGCTAGAGTAGAAAGCCTCAATTTTCTCCTGAATCGTGGTTGGTGGTTTTGAACTGCTGATCTTGAGGTTAAGAGTCCATTAGTGTCTATAATAATATTATTATCATTGCATGATTGGTGCATTCCTTTGCCTTTACCCTTGCCCAGGACAATCTTAGAGTGTATCTACACTAAGTAAATATTGTCATGTTTGCAATGGTTTTAGAGTCTCTATGTAAGATTTTCATTCAGTGATATCAGTTAGACTTCATTATCATAAATTAATGTGTCCAGCGAACACAAAACAGATATAGCAAGGCTTCCACACATAATTATTCTTACAAAAATTCATATTAAATGGTACCACTGAGCAGATTTATTCATCATTTGGAATAGACATGTTATCTGGAAATTCATGGACTTTTGAAAAATCCATTGCCCTAACATATTTTGAAGAAACTAAAATTGTGACAACTATTCAATAAAAATTAAGAAATGGATATAGTTTTCTACACTTAAGACAATATGAATGCCACCATTTTTGAATTTCAGTAGTAATGTAACCTAATTAAATATTTGTTTGTATAAGAAAGATAAAATAACATATACAACATAGATAAAAGGAACACGTATCTATACATATTGATTGTTATATTTTGATTTCTGTTGACTCAGTGTTAATAAGCATGAAGGGAATGATTGCTTTGTTTTTGTTTTCCTTTCAGCTGTTTACCTCTGCAAGAGAACCATGCAAAACAAAGCAAGGTTGGAACTTGCAGACTATGAAGCTGTAAGTAATAAGGACTTGTCATTAAATAAAGTAACACAATTAACAAAAGTGAGACCTGTGATTCCTTACATCATTCACATTTAAGATGGTGATATTTTAAACACACAAACGAAGAATAAAAAGTGGAGGAACATGTTAACTTTTTTTAAAACATTTTATTGGGGGCTCATACAACTTTTTAAAAAATAGCTAAATCATTTTATTGGGGGCTTGTACAACTGGTATCACAATCCACACATACATCCATTGTGTCAAGCACTTTTGTATATTTCTTTCCCGCTTCATTCTCAAAACATTTGCTTTCTACTTGAGCCCTTGGCATCAGCTCCTCATTTTCTCTCTTGCCTCCCCCCCTCCCCCATGAACCCTTGATAATTTATAAATTATTATTATTTTGTCATATCTTACACCATCTGACATCTCCCTTCACCCACTTCTCCGCTGTCCGTCCCACAGGGAGGAGGTGATATGTAGATCCTTATAATCTGTTCCCTCTTCTCCCTCACCTTCCCTCCACCCTCCCGGTATCACCACTCTCACCACTGGTCCTGAGGGGTTCATCTGTCCTGGATTCCCTGTGTTTCTGATTCCTATCTATGCCAGTGTACATCCTCCAGTCCAGCTGGATTTGTAAGGTAGAATTAGGATCGTGATAGTGGGGGGAGGAAGCATGCAAGAACTAGAGGAAAATTGTATGTTTCATCATTGCTGTACTACACCCTGACTGGCTCATCTCCTCCCCACAACCCCCCTGCAAGGGGATGTCCAATTGTCCAAAATGGTCCCTGGGTCCCCACTCGGCATTCCCCCTCATTCACAATGCTATGATGGTTTTTTTGGTCTTTGATGCCTGATACATGATCGCTTTGACACCTCATGATCTCACAGGCTGGTGTGCTTCTCCCATGTGGGTTTTGTTGTTTCTCAGTTAGATGGCTGCTTGTTTAACCTCAAGCCTATAGGACTCCAGATTCTATATCTTTTGATAGCTGGACACCATCAGTTTTCTTCACCACATTTGTTTATCACATTCGCCAGCAAATGTGGTGAAGAAAGCTGATGGTACCCGGATATCAAATAATATAGCATCTTGGGTATTAAAGGCCTGAAGATAAACAAGCGGCCATCTACAAAACCCACATGGAAGAAGCACACCAACCTGTCTCGACATGATCGCTGAAGACAAAGTGGGTGCATAATTAAACATGGTGAAGAAAGCTGAGGGCGCCCGGTTATCAAAAGTCATAGCATCTGGGGTCTTAAAAGGCTTGAAGATAAACAAGTGGCCATCTAGCTAAGAAACAACAAAGCCCAAATGGAAGAAGCACACCAGCCTATCCTGACACAATCACTGAAGACATTTTAACTTTTACATTAAATTCACTATAATAAATTTTGATACTACTTAAAAACATCTGAACTTAGGAAATTAAAGATATTTTGCATGAGGATAATGAATTTTGCAAAATGTTCATGTTGCTCACCATCAGCAATCAAATTAAGCTTATATAATTATTCAGATGATTGTTATGTTATAATTTATTGAATTTGAAATATTGTTTGGAAATGAACTCTGATGACACAGTGATTAGATGCTCAGTGGCAAACCAAATAGTCTGAAGTTTTAAACCACTAACCTTTCCATGGGAGAAAGATGTGTCAGGATGCTTCCAAAAGATTTACAGCTTTGGAAACCCTCAACGACAGTTCTATATGATCACTATAAGTCAGAGTTGACTGGAAGGCACCAGGTTTGGTTCTTTAGAGCTGACAGTTTGCATTTATTGTGGGAAACTACACAGACTGGTTAATTCATAGGACGAATACATTGTTTATGAAGTGGGCAGAAAAAGATCCATGGATTTTTTTTTTAGCATTTCTGTTATATTGGTAATTTTTTGTATTATTCAGGGATATATTTGATTTTCAGTTTTGCTTTCCAACATCAATTATTTGAAAAACTTGGTGTTTTTAATAGAGTGCCCCTTTTTTCCTCTAAGAGTGTTAGTATGAGAAACATCTTTACTCAGAGAACATGTCTTACCATTCAAAACTAGTACACAGTGCTTGCTTCAACAGTATATATACAAAAAATTGGAACGATCCAGAGAAGATTAGCATGGTTGTTGCTTAATGATGATACACACATTTGTTTCATTTTATATATATAGTGTCTATAGTATTTTATAAATTCTTTATTTTTCTGACCAATGCACGCTATAGGTAAGCTAGAAGGAAGCAGTAAAGATGAGCATCATAGCGTCATAACCTATGGTATATATTTCAGGAGAGCTTGGCCAGACTTCAGAGAGCATTTGCCCGGAAGTGGGAATTCATTTTTATGCAGGCAGAAGCGCAAGCAAAGTGAGTTCTTGTGATCCTTTTGGAGGATTATTTGAAGTTGTGGCCTTTTTGGTCCCCAGAAAAACACTACAATTAACACGTTTTATTATTCATTTTTATAATGTCGACAGAGTGGACAAGAAAAGAGACAAAATTGAAAGAAAGATCCTCGACAGCCAAGAAAGAGCATTCTGGGATGTGCACAGACCTGTGGTAAGCAAATCTATCCATTTTCAAATCATAACCTCTGCCTTAGTAGGTGAGGGACTGAAAAAAAGAAGGAATTGCTATGACAACTGTTCACTTTCCCACAGTATTTTAGTGAATTAGTTAAGGAAAATTTGCCATTATGTAAGAGAACCAGAATTTTATAGTATAGTATCTGATTTACAAAAGAATGTATTTTTCAATCATGATATAATTTGCTTCCTTGGTCATTGCATTTGAGTCCCATGATGCTTTTGGATACTTCTGGAAGAAAAATAGCTATGCATGGCTTATATTTTTAAAATTATTTTTCTGGCTTCATATTAAAAGGATAAGTCAAAATGTTAATCCTGTCCTCAATTTTTCCTCTTTTAAAACATATTAATAACCAGCTTCAGTTGATAGCCTTTACTGAGTAATATTTTAGGTGGCTCAAATTCATTTCAGCTCATACTTGTAATGATGTAAGTGGTAACAGTATCTCTATATAATAAGAACTATTTTTAATTAGTAATTATTTTAGAACATCTGACTCAAAGTAACAAATAATTAATGTGCCTAAGTAAATCCAGAAAATGTGGAAATAATTAAATTATGATCATGAGCATTCATAAGAATTCATGTGTAACCACAGTTTTTCTGCTTTTATACTAGATATTTTTAATGATGTAAGCATATTAAACAATAATTGTTATATAAATATTCTTAGTATAAATAATAGGTTTACAACATGGGAGACAACTCAAGATCAATGAGATGCCTTAGAATTTCCCTCTAAACTACTTTCAAGGTCAGACCAAAGTAGAAAACGTCAATGGTTATTATTTATTTATTTATTTATCATATTTGTATTTCAATATCAGATAGTAGTTCAATTGTTATATACTACATTATATACTTATAATGTTATATACATTAAATTTTCAAATGATTAAAATTGAGATTTAACTAACATTCTTTCTCATAATTCAGTTTGAGTTTGAATTTTGTTGCTCATGTAAAAATAAGTATGACATTACACCTACAGGTATTTGAAAGCCATAAAGCAGGACTAAAAAAAAAAACGTTTTGATGACATATAGTTCACATATCACACAATTCAGTAGTTTAAAATATTTTTAAAGTTGTGAAATCACTACAATCAATTTTGGAACATTTTGTTCTTCCTTGTACTCATTATTATTAACTTCCCACCCCACCCCCAACCTCTGCACCTCCCCTGCCATATCCCCCCAAAACTATTTTTTTAAATCATTTTATTGGGGGCTCGTACAATTCCTATCACAATCCATACATACATCCATTGTGTCAAGCACATATGTACATTTGTTGCCATCATCATTCTCAAAACATTGCCTCTACTTTAGCCCTTAATATCAGCGGCTCATTTTTCCCCCTCTCTCTCCACTCCCCCTCCCTCATGACCCGTTCATAATTCATAAATTATTATTATTTTGTCATATGTTACACTGTCTGACGATTCCCCCTGCCCATTCTATGCTATCCATCCCCAAGGGAGAAAGCTATACATAGATTCTTGTAGTCGGTTCCCTCTTTTTACCCCACATTCCCTCCACCCTCCAGGCATCGCCACTCTCACCACTGGTCCTGAAGGAGTCATCTGTCCTGGATTCCCTGTTTCCAGTTGCTATCTGTACAATGTACATCCTCCGGTCTAGCCAGATTTGTAAGGTAGAATTGGGATCATGATAGTGGGGTGGGGGGGGGGGTCATTAAAGAACTAGAGGAAAGTTATATATTTCATCATTGCTACCCTGCACCCTGACTGGCTGATCTTCTTCCCACAATCCTTCAGTAAGGGGGTGTCCAGTTGCCTACCGATGAACTTTGAGTCTCCACTCTGCACTCACCCATATTTACAATGATATGATTTTTTGTTCTTTGATGCTTGATACCTAATCCCTTCGACAGCCCATAGTCACACAGGCTGGTGTGCTTCTTCCATATGGGCTTTGATGCTTCTCAGCTAGATGGCCACTTGTTTATCTTCAAGCCTTTAAAACCCCGGACACTATATTTTTTGATAGCCAGGCACCATCAGCTTTCTTCACCACATTTGCTTATGCACATGTTTGTCTTCAGTGATCAAATCAGGAAGGTGGGCACCCACTGATATGATTTTCAGTTCTCTCGTGGTCAGACAGGCTAGTGTGCTTTTTCCATGTGGGCTTTGATGTGCTCAGCTAGATGGCCGCTTGTTTATCTTCATGCCTTTAAGACCTCAGACCCTATATCTTTTGATAGCCGGGCACTATCCGCTTTCTTCACCATATTTGCTTAGGCACCCATTTTTCTTCAGCAATCATGTCGGGAAGGTGTGGATCCTGGAACACCAATTTAATAGAGCATTATGTTCTTGCATTAAGTGGAGGCCCAATGTCCATCTGCTGCCTTAATACTGTCTGTATAGATTTTCCTATCCTGGACTTCCTATAGAGAAAAGCATACAAAAACAAAGCAAAACAAAAAACCCTAATAACAACAATAAAATAAAACAGATCTAATAAAATTTTACACTTATCATTTATTATCCCTTTTGATCCTTTTATAATTTGTCAAAGCAGGACTCTCATTTTTTTAAACAACCTCTAGAAGCAATCAGTGGAGACCTGGTGGCATAATGGTTGGTCATTGGACTGCCATCTGAGAGGTCAGCGGTTCTACCAGCAACTTTACTGCCATAAAGAGCTACAGTCTCAGAAAGTCACAGGAGCAGTTCTACCTTGTCCTTTAGGGTCATTATGAGTCAGCATCAACTTGACAGACAAGAGGAAATGAGAGTGTGAACCAGTCCATGAAGTTTTTCCCCTTTATGCATGTTAAGGCCTGGGCATCTGCTGCCCCTTCTATCCTCATTCAGCTTAGATTATTTGGACTCTCCTGGAAACCACAGACAACTCACGTGGCCAACTGTGCTGCACTGCCCAAGACTACTGCATATAATTCACTCCTGTCAAAGAGTGTAGGTTAATCCTTTAGCAACACACTTCCTCTGTTCCATCACCAAAAAATCACTCAGCTGCCTCCTTGTCCTCTAGCCCTCTATCTCCCACACAAAGTAAACACATATTCCTCAGTGCTTGGCACGTTGTCCTTAGCCATGATTCAGAAAGTCATTCCCAAGGAGGACCTGGAGGTGGAAGTCATCCTGCAACCATTGGTTCTACCTTCCGTGCTCAGCTTATGGATGTTAATAAAGGGCTTGTGATAATATAAAACAAAGATGTTGTGCAACAATACCACTATTTATTTTTGTAGAGGAAACTCAATAGAGCTACAGATTATCTGTGGACCTCTGAGAAAAGCATCTCTCCAACTAGACCCTATCTTCAATGAGTTGTTTTTCTGAGATTACAACTTCTATTGTTTGAAGTAATGACCATTGGCATTTCTTTGAGTTTAAATATTTTGTCATCACTCTTCTTTGGGGTGAAATCCAGAGATTAAGTGTGCCCACGGGGCCTGCCTTTTACCTTGTTGTCTTCTGAAATGCTTATTGCATAATTTGAAGAAATTAGATCTTCAATTTATTTATAAAATTTGCTACAAAGTCATTTATTTTTGAAATTCTAAATTGCCCTGACATCTTCCATATTCATTTCAGTTTTATTTTTCACTTTACACTATTCTCAAGCTGTGTTCTGGTTTTGCACTGTCTAACTTGTAGTGTCTATATATATTGCACAGCTTCTGATAACCAAAAAGAAAAATCTTTGACCATCGAATTGATTCTAACTCATACTAATCCTAGGGGACAAAGAAGAACTGCCCCCATTGGGTTTCCAAACCTTAAAGGATGCAGAGTGACAGGTGGGCCCAACCCATTGACTTTATGATTGGTAGCTCAGTCCACAACCAACTAGCCACTATGGGTCCATACATATACTACTTCCGTTGGAAAACTCTTCATATGTAATTCTTTTTCAAATATTTCTTACCTTTTTTGTCTTATCCCATACTTTGTTTGAATTCTCCTCATATTTAAAACTAGAGTGATAAACTTATGAATTGTTATTGTTAGGTGCCATCTAGTTGTTTCAGACTTATATTGACCCCATGCACGACTGAACAAAACTGCCCAGTCCTGTGGCTTCCTCATAATTGTTCTCATGTTTTATCTCATCAATGAGTGACTGTGTCAGTCCATTTCATAGATTTTCCTCTTTTTCACTGCCCCTCTACAATACCAAGCATGATGTCCTTCTCTAGAGATTGGTCTCTAAGGACAACGTGTCCAAAGCACACAAGACAAAATCTTGCCATCATTGCCTCTAAGGAGCATTTTGGCTATACTTCTATACTTCTCCCTAGACAAATTTACTTGTTGCTTTGGAAATCATAGTATTTTCAATATTCTTCTCCTGCACCATAATTCAAATGCATCATCCTTCTTTGCTTTTCCTTATTCAATGTGAGGCAACTGAAAATAACATGGTTTCCATCAGGCACACCTTAGTCTTCAAAGTAACATCCTTATTTTTTCAACAATCTAAAGAGAACTTGTGTAGCCGATATCTCTCCCTTGAGAGATTTCGTAGATCTCCCAATGCTGGTTTTAATTTTTGGTCAGTTGTAGGGTATATATAAGAAACAAATTATTTAAGCATCAATAATAATGATCAAATATTCTGTCTTTAGTAACTAAATCAGTTCATACCTGCCCTCTAGAACAATAGTTTTTTTGTTGCTGATTCTTTTACCTGTTTTAGAAAATCCAAAATACGTTCATCCAAATTTAAATATTTTGTGTCAGAAAGTAAGGACAGCATTTCTCTCTACTACTCATATTTTGACAATATAATTGTAAAGAAGGAAACTGTTCTTTTTAAACTCCATGGCTATATCTGTCATTCTCTGTTCTTTCTATCCCTCAGTTGATTGGGAGATAAAATGTCCTATTATTATGTAATCTTTGATGCTACTTACAAAAGCCCTGGGTTGAATGAGAGTAAACATTACTTCCCTTCTTATTCAGTGTTTCCATG